AAAAAAAACCCCCCCCCCCCCCCCGCGCGCGCGCGCGCGCGCGCTAGCTATGGTGTAGCATCTACCCTCTACAACACAGATGCCAGTTTAGTAGATCCTGAAACAACAGATTTTTAAAAAATGTTGTCTCTGCCACCACAGCTTTCCAGCATTGTTGACCGCATGATCAAGTCACTGGATATGAACATGGCACAGTTCTTACAGGAGATTGACAGTAGTGTCCAACAGAGCAGGGCAGTGTTCAGTCAGTGGGACGCGACACACCATGTGATTGACACACCCGAATGGGAGCAGATACAGCTGAAGGTGAGAACCTCTTCCTATAATGATAATAATAATGCTAATAATAATAATAATAATAATAGTAATAATAATAAGTATAAGTATAGCGCAAATTCCTGCTCAACAGCAAGCTCTAAGCATTATACAATCAATATAAATTATTACCACAGCAAACCTGATTGATAGCATTCTGAAACAATCTCAACATTCTGGGAAGCATACAGCGCAAGCTGCCTTAAATAGACACTAAAACACTAGCCTACTGACAAGACTCGCTGTATACGGCTGGATACCCTTTCACACCTGGGTGAAGTGAGGAAAATTTGTGTTAAGTGCTTCTCTCAAGGACACAACGTTGGGCCTGAGGTTCGAACCCCCTGAACTCACAACCTCACAGTCACGAGTTTGGTAGCCTAACCACTAGACATCCGGCGCGCCATAACAGCCGTCCCTCAAAATCTCTTCGGTCTAGTTTGGTTCCAGTAAGAAAAAAATGGTGTGAAAAATTGGTAGGTAGACCTTTTATTAGTTTAAAATACCGTAAGAGATTAACGGCACTTGCAACATAATAGTTCATATCATCATATATATATATATATGTATAAGTGCCAAAGTTTAGAGCCTTCTGCCCTTGCCTTTTCCTTTTTTGGAGTGATAGTACCCATGATGATCACCTGTCTCAGCTGACTACTTTTCTCCTCAACGATGGGTGGCCATCCTGGTTAGAGCAGGGGTGTCTGCGAGCTAAATCATAAATGCCTCCCTTCATCGAGTTTTGTGCAGTCCTTGGAAATTTTCAGTGATTGTTTTAAAAATGGAAATTAATGAATTTTCACAAAAATGATTGCAGTTAAGATACTAAAGCTATGGCTAGTTTTCGTTGTCAAATTTTACATTTTTGGGGTTGATTTCTTCAGTCTGATTGTTTGTCTAAAGTCTTTGCAAACCAGCCTTAAGAAGACTGAAACATGGAACATGCCACAAAGGCCAGCCTTCCATTCCTAATTACTATTACTATCCAACAACTAGCTGCAGGTGTGAAGCAGTTATTAAAACCACATGTCTAATCTTAGTGCGGCAATATCCAATGACCTTTCAATGGACTCTGAAATAGACAGACAGGTTGAGCTGCATTGGTAATTGTATGTAAGGCTGTCAAGATGAGTGTGGAAAAATTTTTTAAACTAAGAATCAGTACCACAAAAAAGATTGTCTGTAGAGCTTGTGTCTTCAGTTCCTTCCTTTATAGTGTTGATCTGGTCATAAAACTTGTACAAGTGTCATTTTTTTCCCCTCTTCCCTTAGGCTGTACAAAGAGGAGAAACTAACTGTCCTATCTGTTTGACTGAGCTTTACTTGACACAGAGTCAGCCAAATGAGTACACTGAGAACCCCTCAAAAGACCTAAATTCAAAGCCGCACTCAGTGGGTCACCACGCGACAAGAAGGAAACACGAAGACAGGAAGTTGTTGGAAAAATTGAATCATGATGTTATCGGGAGCCCTCAGACACAAACAGGAGCTGCTGGGAGTACAGATACAATAAACAAGACAAGCTCAGTATCTCAAGTGAAAAGCAAGAATGAGAAAATGAAGAAGGTATTTTCTACAGAAGTTCCAGAGCTAAATGAGAGCAAGAGCAGTGAAAGTGGATGCCCTCAGAAGAAGAAAATCCGAAGCACAGCGTTACTGTCATGCACACATGTGTTTCACGCTACATGTTTGCAGACTCTAGAAGACATTGCTATGCTGGAAATGAGGAACACTTGCCCTGTGTGTAGAGCTCATTATCAGAAGAAAATTATTGTCTACTGATACAGTAGCTTATTATTTCGACTGCTCAGTAGAAGACTTGGCCATACACCATTTGGAAAAGTGACATATGACTGAGTTTACACTGATCAGTCAATTTTATGTTTTACACTCTCTTCAACAATGTGAGATCGTTTGACCCTATCCATAGGTTGTGTTTTACTATCGTATCCATATGACGTGGGGAACTCTGTGCCACCACTTTCCAAAGAGGAAATTTACTCTTTAATCCGATTTGTACACTTTGTATAGCAGTCTGTCAAAATGATTTTTTGAGGAATACTGAAAGTTTCAAAGAGATCTTCGTACTAGAACTATTCTAAAATATGAAGAATACAACCCCAGGGGTACAAAATGATGACCTCAGAACGTACAGATAGGGTTAAAGGGTAGGACTTCCAAAATCAACGTCCGTCTCTGATAGGACCAAGCCAGTTACATGGAGACTTTGATAGGGTTTTCTTTTTTAATGAAAATTTATTTGTGAGTCGGCAGGGTTAAATCAGACGCTTGTTAAAATAATGAATTTAAAAAAACGGTCATTTTTCTGCACTTTGGTCATTTTTACCCAATTTTTATTTTTTGTCTGGATTTTACTAAAAAATGATTAAAGGCACAAAAAATTGTAAATCTGCAGTTTTAAGGACTCTTAGGTTTTAGAAGTAAGTCACCAAACTTTTGGGGGGGGTGTCATTTTCTTGCTTGTTTTACCTCCGACACCCGATGAACCCCACCTCCTTCCATAGCAATATCTCGACTTTTATTTTTTATTGTGGATGGGTATTTTTCATCAAAATGTAAGACAAATGAACAAACTTTCCACCAATAACTCCAGAATGCCCAAGAATTGATGACCACCTAATTCTATCGTGTCGTAGCACATTCCTTTTTAATTTTAATTTGGGTGTTTTCAAGCCCCATCGACAATTTAGATCAGTTAAGAGGTGGGCTTCGACTCTGTCAAGGCCAACCAGGCTGAAATGGGTATAAACGTCTCAGCCGAAAGACCAAGATATTCAGTTAAAAACTCTATCCATTGAGGAATCGAACTCGGGTCTCCTGTAATTTAAAGTAAAGTGCCTAACCACTACACCACAAACATCCGTATGGAGCTGTTTGAAACCTCCCAAAATAACCCAAGTTGAAAAACACTCCATTTAGGATTCGAATTTACTTTTAGTAAAAATTCTGCGGCGCTTGCAACACGAATAGGTCACATAAATTAGGCAGTTCCGTGAACGAGATCGGCTCGCGGCGAAATCGGCTCCTCGCCGCCCGTAAAAAACTGTGAGCGGCGGATTGCGTCGGTGATTTGGTGACCTCAGAAAATCGCGAATTTGTTTCGTTAAATAGTAATAACCACAACTTCCGATACATGTTTTTGAATATTTTAAAATCATCTACAAAATGGCGTCTTCCTTTAGCAGATCCGACTAGTAAAGCCAGAGATATTTTGATTTGAATTTAAGCCAAGTTTCAACGTTTGATATCTTTTTCCCCACTTGCCTGGCAGTTTTTTAACTTTTCTGGCAGTTAAAAATATTCTTTATCTTTAAAATAATCCTAGAATGGCTGTATTTAGCCCTGTCTAGCGGCGACTAGAGCCAGTGCACTTGATAGCGAAAGTTGTTTTTCTATATGCAGCATTGGCCATGCCGCGAAGCTGGATTGATTCGCTGAGTCGACAATGCGTTCGGTTTAGGGCTGGACAAGGAGTTGCTTTAGAACAATCCGGATAACATGTTAGTGCACCTCTTCGGCAAACCAAATGTTATGAACCGCTTCAGCAAATGGATCAGAACTTCGACAAATGGGTTAGCATCACTTCAACACTAAAATGTGCACCCACTTCGGCAAACGGGTCAGGAAAGAGAGTTAAGAGTCTGAATTCGGATGTTTCATTGAAAATTATCCGGTTATCCGGATATGATATCCAGATTTTGCCCACCTTTAGTTCTGGATCTTTGCCGCATCGCACTTTTCGCCTTCCTAGTAATCCTAGTCCTGGTTGTTTGGGGTTTTTTCTATTAAATATTTTCAATTTTCACTGAACAGGAGATCATTGGAGCGTACCCATGGTATATCTGTTCACAAATATTATGTTTAACACTTGTTTTCTTTTGCCAAGGTCTGTGCACAGTGATTTTGACTTTGAAAAGATTATTTTTATTATAATACATTCTAGATTTTCTAGAGACAATTTAAAAAATAACTTTGATTCTTTTGGCCCACAGTTGCACATATTATGTATCATGTACATTGTGCAGTTAGCTCTTACTAAAGTCTTACATTCTTAGTTTTAGTCTTTGATTTTGTATGCTAGCTTTTTCTCGTCTCTCAATTATCATTTCTATAGTCATCGTCACACGTAGTTGATTTATCTTTAGTAGAAAATTCTTTCCCTTTTTCCTCACACTGTTCATCACTACTAGTTTTATGTTCGCACAACTGTCTGGTCACAATGAAAACTACTTGGAATAGCATCTACAATCTAGTAGGCCTCTTATGTGATTTTCAATCAAATATTTTTTTCGTGCTTGATTTTTACCTCAATTTGTTCTTTTCTCCTTTTCTATCTAGTTCAGTTTGAAATTTTGTTATCCTCTTCTTATATTCTCTTTTAAAAATGTGTTGAATAAGACGATCAAAATGATACATCACACGTGCACTTCACCCATTCGGACTATTCCTTGTTGAAATATCATCGCTTATTTTCAAATTCATCCTTTTTCGGACACAAGAAAATTGACCCCGCTCTTAATCTACATACCACGTTAAAGAGATTTATGAGACAAAACTGTTTCTGTTTCTTTCAAAAAAGTACACATAATAACTTTTGATTTGATGCAAAAAACAGGAAGATATCTTTACAGGTTGCGAAGTTATGTACATTTTTGTTGATTTTTGTCCTCCTTTAGTCACAAAATACAGTGCAAAAAAGAACCAGATTTTTTGTGAAAAATAAAGTTTCAAAAATTCCATAACTTCTCAACCAATACAGATATTGACAAAATTCAAAAAGCACTGTGGTCAGTGTGGCAGGACCTTTCATTTGAGCATATTTTCATCAAAATTTAACAACTTTGAATTTTTCACTGAACTGCCTACATAAATGATTTACGCGAAAGTTTGAGGTTTTGCTAGAAACCAACAAACAGAGAAAAGAAAGAGGAGATACAAGGATGATAGGAATTTGAAAGAAAAGAAGAAGAAAGTGAAAGCGACAATATTATAATATACACCCGCCAACCACCGGTCGTCACACAATAATCCAACATTTACCTAATTACAGTAATAGTATTCCAATGCAGTACATATATACCATGAAGACCACTACTTGTACTACACTTCAACCTGTCCAAGACAACCACCCATAGTCAAGGAGAAAAGTGGTCTTCTTAGACAGGTGATCCTCATTGACAGTGCCATTATAATGTGTAGAAAAAACGCAGGGGGGAAGTAGGAAGTGGTTGTTTGTACTGGTAATTGTCTAGGACAGGTGGTCTTTTATAGACGTTTTTTTAAAGAGGTTCGACTGTGGTATTGGTTTAGGATATATACAGTAGTCTCCGCGCTTAAGATCCTGCTGTTTTAAGAAAACAGAATTTTTACTATACAAAAAGACCGCTTTGATTCACTTTGAATGTCTGCATTTGGCTAAGATTCCACTAAGATCCCACATTTCAGATCATAATTTATGGAACAAAAACCCAGGCGGGCACAGCAAATCAACCAAGAGTGAAAAGCTGAGATCATTGAACTGCCTACCGTGTCAAAGATCCGCCACTCTCATGTCAAAGATCCGCCACTCTCGGTAATGTGATCACATTAGCGTTGTAAAAATCAATGAAATGTTACATCGTTTGCTCCAGACGGGATCACACCAAGGTGTGAACTCGTCAACACATTTGTTTTCCCCAAGCATCGTATTCGCATCTTAGCTCTCCACCTATACATCAGTCGCTGGGTGGGTAGGACCAACAAGTTCGCTCCAGGGGAGATCACATTGAACTGTGAACTCTTCCCTAACCATTGCAAAATTGCAGCAGTTGTCTCTACTCCCGACTTCGTGAGACAAACTAAGTTTTAATTGGTGAGGTCACAACGTAATGGTGTGTAACTACAAAGGTGGGGGAACACTGTCAGATACAAAAAGCTATAAAATTTTGGACAGGTAAAAAAAAAGGGGGGGGTGGGATAACTGGATCAGCGTAGATCTTGAGTCTCACGATATGATAATAAGTGAAAATGGCATGCCTCATGCCACTATGATTGGTCATCAAGGTTGACTACTCTTTGCTCGTCATATGTCATAAACCCACCCAGGGGTCACGTCACTTCATTTTAGAGGAAGGGTAACCATTTTACCAGTTGTGAACCTTGACATGGGTCACCGTAGGTAAGTCCCTTAGTAAGTCGGTTAAGATCCCGTTTACCTAAGACCCCCCATTTTCCTTGCTCTCAAGCACTGGGATCTTAGGTGGAGACTACTGTATACATGTATTTATATATATTTTATTTTAAAAGCATACCCTTCCATGAAAGGCGTTTGTGAAAACTTTATAACTACAGAAATTTATATATGAGACGGTAAACAAACCAATATTCATCTTTGTTGGGTTTCCCTTCTTTTTAAATTCTTTTTTTGTGATGTAGGTGTTTTACATCTCTATCTACATAATTTATATCATTTAAAGAGGTCAGCTTCAATCCTACCTGTCGGATCTAATTTGGCGGAGAGGGGTGATACATCCCTACAGAAAGTCTGAGATGCTCAATAGAAATTCTCATCCCCAATCAAAAACAGAAACCGGGCCTTCTGCATGCAACAGCACAGCATGTAACCACTACACAGTCTCTCTCTCTCTCTGTTTTGTCGTTTAGGAGGAGGTAGATCTAAAGTTGTTCATTTTATTAGCTCGATCCATGGTCATTGATCAATTGAGCTATTGGCTTTGTTAATTTTTGCAAGAGTCTGCATCACTTGCAACCCGCTTAGGTCATAGAAGTGCCAAGAATTAGAGGTTATTAGAGAATAACAAACGAAAAAAAGGAGATATATACGGACAAAAGATGTTAAATACAAAAGAAGGAGCAAACAAGACCAGAGCACCTGCCAATCATCCAGATTCATGTGGCAATTCATAAATTTATATATTTCTTCGCCTTAGAACTGTTTTTTTTTTCTAAGTGTGAACCAAAGATTGCACTTTGGACTGAACAGTACGAGGCGACGATTTGTCAATTCTTCTCTTCTCTCAGCATCAGAGCCTTTTGTCATAGAGTATGATAGAGAGAACACATTCTCTATAATGTAGTCATGAATAATTCGGACAAAATGACACCTGTGACACAACAGCTTCATACATTAAAGATGACCCGATAGAAATGATCCTATTCAAATGACCATGCCTGGGGAATTACAAAAAGGTTGCTGAAACCTATGCCAGTCACCACAGCCCACGCCACCACGGTTTTAAATTCCCTTGTCCTTCTCTATTGCTTTGTCTTGCCACTTTTGTTATATTGTTAGACTTTGCAGGTCATGTCACTGCACCATTTGTGTGGCATCCTGGGGGAATCAGGCGCTCATCTAAATGATGAAATCAAAGAAACCAACATTTTATTCTCTCTGTTAATTTATCGATTTTTTTTGTTGTAGTCTTAACATGTCGTACAGTCACATAAAAAAAACACATTGCCATGAGGATTTTTCTAAAAATGTTGGTCAAAGGCACAATATATT